GACCCCAACCCATCCCCCCATGTCAATTGCACCCAGCAAATTTAGTTGGCTTTAAAGTAAAAAGTTTTAACTTTAAAGTCAACTAAACTTGCGGGGTGCAATTGACATGGCTGGAGAGATGGGTTAGGGTCGGGACTCGGTGACGAAGTTTACCAAGAGGGTTAGAGGGTACGGACTCATTAATTTTACGAATGGAGCATCGAAAAGTGGCAGTAACTTTCGTGGCCACTCAAAATGAGTGGCCATTAAACCTAGCCGATTTAAATAATGAAAATTGAATAGTACAACTACATTTAATATCCCGACGGTTCAAAAAAAATGGCGAGGTAAAGAATCGTAAAAAATCCTCAAAGGAGCTTATAAATCACTCACCTAAAAAAACTAGCTAATTACAATTTAAAATAAAAATACAAGTTTATTCCTCGGAAGTACCACTTCCATCTGTGGTTGCATCCATATAATTTTGTGTATCAATGTCGTAACCTGACTCTTGAGCTCGACATCTTACCAAAAGCCAATCTCGGTTGCAAACAAGTGTCTCAAAAAATTCAGAGCTAAGACAACTTCGGTAGTCGGATAGAATGTTGCCGCTAGAATTGAACTCTTGTTCCACAGCTACGGTTGAAACCGGTATAGACAACACTTGTCTGGCTAGCATTCCCAGTGACGGAAACATGTGTTCATTCTACTTCCACCATTCGAGGACGTCGAACTCGTTATCGTTGTCTCCATCGTGGTCGCATGGGACCCCTGGATACGTCATAAGTTCATTGTGCGAACTAACACTTGTACCACATGTACTCATCAAGGTAGAGCTACGCTTACCTTTTTTTCAAAAGACCACTGATTATCCCTTTAAAACTTTTTTTGTCTTGAGAGTCGGAGGAGCTGCTGTTTCTTCTTATGGAATTCCTTATAAACTTGAAATTCTTTAAATAATGACTCAAAAAGACGAATAGCATTATCTTTATCTTTTGTCCATTCCGTTAAATGGTCATAGAAATAAAAATTTTTTATGGGAAATAATATTTGGTCCGGTCTAAATTTTCCAATTATTTATGAAGATTAGTCTGATCAAGCCTGTTAAATTAAAAGGGGGAATAATAAAATATTCCCAAAAGATGCTTCTCTCCTTCCCTATAAAAGAAGGGATTGCCTTCAATATTGAGATGCTTCTCTCCTCTCACCACTCTCCTCTATCCACTACTCTATCTCCAAATAGTGTCTGTATTTTCTTCTTCATTGAGCTTATACCTTCACCATAAATGGCTTCTAAGATTAAGTTATGTACCGTGTACAACCCCTAATATCAATAAAAATCCTCCATTTGTAGGGCACTGCCAAAAAAGGCACGTGGTTTCTTCTTGATTGGGTTTCCACGTCAAAATCCACGTGTTTGTAATTTTGGTGTGTTTTGTTAAACTAGTTTATCGTTCTTGCCCTTTTAACAATGATATTCCGGTCAAGATAACTTACACCATCATTTTGGCGCCACCCGTGGGACAGAGCAAAAACCTATGATTTTGTGTGGCAATCTATCTTGCTCAATTGCGAGGGGGGTTCAATCCAGGTGCAAAAAAGCTGCAATTGAAATTTCATTGGCTCAAGTAAAAAATGAGAGGGGTAGAACTCTAAGGTAAAGAACTTAAAATCCATGAAGGAGAACAATACTCATTTTTCCCCCTTTCTACCCATGGCAAAAAAAAGATGGAAAGCCAATACAGAGGTTGCGAAAAGAGTTTCCAAAAAAATAAATAAAGAGGTTGCGAGAAGAAGGAATCAGAAGAAGAAGTTGGGGATGGCTTAGATCTATTCTTCCCATCTCCGCCATCGATGAGATCCTCCATAGCAGCTTATTCGTCGTTATTTGTGCTCAGAGTCTGTGAGGCTAGTGCTGAGATCAGACGAGCACTGCCTTTGGATTTTGCCCGATCAACACCGCCTTGAGATTTCACATGATCAACACCGCCATTGAAGTCTTCTGTGGCCATGCATGCTGGAGCCTGACATCACCGCTAGAGGTGGTTACGGACGTCGCCGCTGCCCAATTTGACGAGCTTGTCGTTGAAGGCCACCAATGCCAAGAATTATATTTATGATTGTCACTCCCACAAGTTGCTGTGGATTGTCGCCGCAGTTCATTTTCGATTGTCAGGGACAGCTACATCATCATGATTGCTTCGCAGACCGGCTGCCACCACCGCGATGTGCCTCGTTGCCAACCGCTGCCACTTTGTGGCTGACTAGCCCTAGTGGTTTGCTAAAACGCTGTGCTTGAGAGGGAGAAGATCAGATGGACCAGGTTGGGGCTCTCCGCTAGTGACAGTTCTTCTTCCGTTCGGTGTTGTCTTTGACCACCCACCTCTCAAGGATATCAGAATCGGTTGTTTCAAAGTCTGACGGCATCTATATATGCTAGATAATCACCGCCGCCCTTACTATATTTGCTATTGTCGTCGTAGGAATCTCATAACATCCTGGCCTTTGGAAGAGAGCCAGAATTATGTGAGGAATGAAAACAAAAAGAGGAAACTAGAAAACTTCTCACCATTGTTGAGGCAGGCCATCACCACTCACTGACATAGCCAGTGAAATCTCGCATAGCCGCCACCGGTGCCCGACTTGTTATCGATGCTGCCGGGCTTTACAACAACCACCAAGATTTGCATCACATGATCAAAACAATGAGTTGAAAAGCTACCTCAATTCAAAGACAACAATGTGAAGGCAAAATTGTGAACATGCTCGTGATATGCCCTTGCAACCGATGCATGTGTAGGGATGATGGACAGATGGTGTATTTTTGGTTTCTTGCATTGATTGAAGATGAAATGCGAATATCATGGGCCCACTTACTCCACTAATACTTTTTAGGATAAATGACAAAGCTATAGGGGGGTGAATAGCGTTTATAAAAAATCACAGAAAATTAAAACGAAGTAAGTGAAAAGTAAAGAGTGTAAGGAAAGAACACGCCGATATACACTAATTCACCACAACTCGTGGCTACGTCCAGCCTCACGAGAGACTCTCTCAAGCTACACTACTTCCGTTAAGCTTACGGGTGCTTAACAAATCGGTACAACCTGAGAGCTCAAGCCACACGAGCCTCAATAAACTTGCTCGGAGATACCGCACTCCAAGACTTTAACTGCTCGGATTCCTCGCCCAAAACCTCACACCTAAGGAACTAAAGCTTCCTTCAAACTACAACAAGGGAACAAACCTCCCTTCCAGTGTATACAAACACTTTAACACTCACGAACAAAACCTTCTTTAAGAGTAGATATGAGTAAACAAATGAACGCTCAAGAACGTGACAATTTCTTCAAGAATTGGCTCTCATAAGCTATGAAAAATGCATGTAATGAATGTCATGAAAGAGTATTGAGATTATGAATAATTGTGTGTAAAATGAGAGATTTAGGTGCACTTTTATAGGCTAAAATGGTGGGTTAACCGTTGCACAATACCCCAAGAAAATCAAGACAAATACTTTGAAAAACCAGTGTGATAATCACGGATCACCAAGTTAAAAACGGTTTTCATGGTTTTTTACCATACGCCAAAAACCAAAGGTGGTTTTTAGAAATTTTGTTTGGAAACCTTTTGAATATGCTAGAAGTAAAAATCAAGTATAAAAAGTTGAAAACTGTTCGGTTTATTCAGACACCAAAAACAGAACGCCAAACGTTGTGGTTTTGGTTTGGGTAAAGACCATCAATTTTTTAAACTTAAAACCAATTATGAAAAAAATTGTTTGATACATAAAATACGGTTTTATGGTTTTAGCTATTGAGAACCAAGATGCAAAGATCATGGTCGGTTTTTATCACAATAAACCTACTCAACCAAAACTTAAGCCTTCATTGGTCTTGATCTTGTTCATTATGCTTTCGTCTTGTCTCATGCCTAACTTCACACCTTGAGTTATTCAACGGAACTCTTCATATCCACGTCGGTTTGGCAATTATCAAAACCTATCAACGACAAACACGACTTTAGTTCAGTGCAATGTAAAGTGTGTTCCAACAATTTCTCTCTTTTTGATAATGGAAAACAAGACGGGGATATGCATTTGTTTTTCAAAAAATTTTTCTGACAAATTCCTCCTTAATATATGCATAACACTTATCTTCCCCCTTTTGACATTAACAAAAAGATTTAAAACATAAAAGATGTAATTTGTTGAAAAATTTATTTATTTAAGGGAATTACGTAGTGCATTATGAAGCATAATAAATTAATATAAGAGGAGAAAAAAACGAGCTAGGGCTCAAAAATCGTCACAGCTATTAGTTGTCGTTGCAAACCCGACCTTCCTCTTGTTCAGTTGGTGCTGAAACTTCTGCACGCCCTAGTAGTCGATTATCACTTTGTTGATAATCAATTATCCGTGTTTCCAATTGAGGAGACCAAACTCCAACGCGCCTCAATAGTCGATTATCATTATATCATAATCAATTATCCTGAAGACCTGATTCCAAGTTTTCACTTCATGGTGAAAAATCAATTTTTACCAAAATGATAATTGATTTTTGGCATTCCCCATGACTCTAACACAATTTTTAAGCTAAAAACACTCCCCGAACGTTCCCCTTGATGCAATTCATTTGGTTTCGTGCTTGGAGCATCCACTACAAAAATGTAGTCTTCAAGTAGACCTACATATGCATCTTAAAATAATTTTTAGGTACTCAAACACTTTTTGGTCCTTGGGAATTAGACAAATGATAATCATAGCTATAAGATAAATATCTATGTTTGGCAAAATATACGGGTGCAATGTGTCCTATCTTAGAACAATGATGACACACTACATTTGGATTATGTATATGCCTAGGTTGAGCCAAATAAAGTCTAGGTGATCTAAAATCATTATTCCTTGAATTATTAACAAAATTCCTAGACTCATTACTAATTTTTCTAAAATTATTCCTATTATTCTTAAAGTTTCTAGAGTCATTTTTAGGTTAACTAAAGTTATTTTTCTTAATTCTAAAATTCAATTTGTTATTTATAGGAATATTATTTCTTCTAGGTTCTCTATTTTTCTAATCTTCTTCATGTACTCTCTTAGGCTCTTTAATACTAAGTTTTTCTACGGTGCACGCTCTTAAATTCTATATTTTCTAGTTTCAAAGATTCACAAAAAGAGCAAGTTAAACTTTGATTAATAAAAGAGGAAGCTTCATTCATTGCCTTTATTTTATTTTTAAGGTCAAGATTATCATTTTTGAAAAACTTATTTTCCTCTTCCAAAACATGAAGGAATACTTTGAAGGCCAAAATCAAAGTGTCAAGCGCACGAGCGACTTTATACGAAATGGTGGCAAATTCTAAGAAAAAATCAAAATTGAAAGTTCGAAATCTACACAATTACTTTCAAAGATGGACATCTTTGCATATACTTCTGCTAATTGGAAGCCCTAGTTTATGAGTGGTCAATCTTCGAAGACCAACTAGACCAAGGTCCCGGGTCCCGTTTGACATTAGTATTAGAGATTAGTGTTAGCATTTTAGAAAGGCTCTCTGACTTAGCGTTAGTGTTTTCTGAATTAATCTACACTGTTAATATTATATCTAAAACGCTAATGCTAATTGAAAACGCTCTTTCCAAATAAGGCCCAAGAGAAAGGGAAATTACGTCTGACATTTGATTTGCAAGATGATTCACTTTTAGAGGAAGAGGAGTGATACAAGTAAATTTACAATATTAACCCTTTATTTAACAGCAAAAACACCGAAAACATAATAGAGGACCGAGTATGGAAGAGTACCAAATAAAAAAAGACTTCGAACATAATATTTAGTAATTAAGTACTATATATGGAAAACTCTCACTTATAGAGGATTATTTATAGAATTTACTCTATTTTGATTGTATCGATTTTTCTAGCTTCTACTCTCAACAAAAAAAAATTATGATCATATCCATTTTTTGTTCGTATCCTTAAGAAAGCAGGTGTCAACTTTGATATTTTTCCTCAATGCAAAACCAAAACTATGTTATTAACTCAATTATTTTATTTCTTTTTTAAAGAAATGGACAAAATTTCTCTCTTCTATATAAACAATTTCATTTTGCCAACATTTTTTTTTTAAATGTGGTTCTCAAATGCAAAATCCGAAATATGTTATTAACCCAATTATTTTATTTCCTTTTCAAAGAAATGGAAAATTTTTACTCTTCTAAATAAATAATTTCAATTTGCCAACACTTTTTAAAATATATTTCTCAAATGCAAAACAGAAACTATGTTACTAACTCAATTATTTTATTTTCCTTTTTAAAGAAATAGATAAAAATTTCTCTCTTGTAAATATATATTTTCATTTTGCCAACACTTTTTTAAATGTAGTAAAATTCAAATTATGAAGTATTCTTTTGGACGAATAAACTAGTTTCGTTCATTCAATTCATATGAAAAGTAAAAATACACAAATAATTATTCTCATAGAAATATGCAGTTTAATTTCTGCTTTGATGTATGCATTACAACTTACAACAGTTCCCACACAGAAGGGAACTTTTTAAGAGAAATTGTGTTTTACCAACAAAGGAAAACAAGTGAATCTAACAAGTGGTTTTTTTTTTTTGGGATCACAATGGAGGGGAAAAAGAACCCCAAGACCTCAAGAGAGATTCCTCGCCAACGTACCCCTGGACAAACGACATCCTACTTTGTCTTCATCTAAAGGTTGACTTACACCATAAGGTGGATACAATGACACTATCTAACAAGTTGTAAATATATAGCATGAGATACAAAGACATGCACGAAGTTGCAATGCCAAGTTAGCACATGGATCCTTCACACCATTCTTCCAGCGTGGGCGTCGCCACCCAAATATTTTTCATGTCATATATGTTTGCTGTAAGCACACGAAAGCAAAAACTATAAGACAAATAGTCCCGAAAGTATAGTAGAGAGGCTGTTTTCAGAAGTACCCTTAGGAAAAAAGATGGCATAGGTGAACAAATTTGTTTACATACAAGCATGTACTTCACATGTTGCAGCAGCCGTTGCATCAACAATAACAGTTACAGGTTGATAATTCCACGCCACTGCATCAAAGACTGTCTGCCTTATACAATTCGGTGTTTGGACACCTAAACAAGGAGTAAGAAAGTTAAGATTCTTCAATACAGATAAACAAAAGGATAGCTCATGTTCTTTGCAGAAGTAGAAAATGTAGGAGTTTTATAAGAGGAAGAACACTTCGAAGCAGCATCAAAAAGTTTGTGAACGAAGAACGAGATGAACAACTTAAAAGATTATAACAAATCGCGTAGAATGCTTTCAGATCAAAGTTATTTTGGGGTATACCAAAATACTTTAATTGGATAAGACATTAATCAAGAACAAGCACATCGAAAATCAATCCTCAACCATACTCGCGTATCTATATTTATAGAAACGAAAAACCATGAGCAACGTTCGCGTAAAAAAGCAAACATTTGCGTGAAGAGGTTCTTGCGGTTTTGGGCCAATTATGGACGTTTATCCATAAGTCCGATTTCTTAACGTTTTGGATTCTATTCACGAAAATCTGAAGGTTTTTCATAAAACAATAATGTCCAAAATAAATCTTGGCCAAGGGCTCTGCCCCTTGAACCCTAGCAGGCACTGCCGCCCCCGAACCCCCACTATGAATTTGTAATATTGTTAAACGAGCGTATACTCCACAACTCCTAACTCGTTTGACAACGTCTATACAAATTTTTGTTTGATCTAAGTAAACCCAATTACACAAAATAGTTGAGGACAATAAAATCACCAACATAAATATGTCAAATTTTTAAACTGACCTTGCCAAAGGCCTCGTGATCTAGCGGCATACATGTGCCTATTCCAAATAGAAGGTCACATGTTCGAATCCCAATGTGGGGACATTGATTCTTTGTGCTTCATGACGTTGAGAAAGTATGTATACACATACTACATTGTAATATAGTAATAGTAGTAAAAAAATTAAACTTTGTTTGGGAGGAGCATTTTCAGTTCGCATTTTGGATTATTTTTTAATGGTACAGATTGATTTTGAGAACACTAAACGTTGTTGTTAGATAACTATTTCAAAACGCTAAAGCTAAAGGTTGAAGTGTTGCCAAACGGGCACAATGGATATGAACCTTAATAGAAAGTCAATATCTTATATGGCGAGTGATATAGTAAGTTTCTAATACTTCGACTCAAACTATCATGTACAAAATCTAAATGGAAGTTGATTAATACCGGTGATGGTTAAGCTGGTAATCGCATTGGTTTGAAGATATGAATGGAGGTTTGTGTTAAAGAATGCGCTAAAACGCGTCTTTACCAACTTGTAATCCCCTTCCTTGACAACAAGCCCTTCCGCGAGTTCAGCACCCACACTCCCCTTGGTAGTTGGTTTTGGCTTCCCAGGGGAGTACAAGTCTCTTCGAAACAACTCCACATCTCTTCCAGATGGATCATGCTCACGCACAACCTGCATGGTAAAGGTAGATTTGCTTGAAAAATGACAAGGATTGTGATATTTCTATAACAAACTTGTACATCCGCACCCACTAGAAAAAAACATTATTTTCACAAACATCGCCTGCACGTCTTCATCTTGTGTGCGTGCATGCACTACTAGATGAGCTGACTCTATTTATTTTTTGGCACCAAATTATATAAAAGTGCACTTAAAATATACGGAGTGGTGCTAATTTTTAATAAATTAGAGGGCATAAGTAGAAGTGTCACTCTTATTTGTGTTATTCAATTATTAACTTAGTGATTGGCAAAATACTACTCCCTCCGTCCATGAGTATTTGTCCAATTTTGACTTTTTCAATTTTGACCTCAAATTAAATAAAAATGATATTAGATATTGATACGAAAATGGTTTTATTAGATTTATTATGTCAAATATTTTCAAAACATTATCTTATCTAATTAATATACAATATATATTTTATTTAATTATAGATCAAAGGTTGAAAATAGTTGACCAAAAAAGTCAAAACTGGACAAATAGTCAGGGACAGAGGTAGTAGCTAAGATGTCAAATAGAATAAGTGAAGCCTGAATAGACTGTACCAAATGAATCACACATCCAAAAACAGAAGCCATAAATTTGATACAATATTTTTGGAACAGAAAAGCTCTCTCAAATAATACAATACCAAACACTTGCAATTGTTGTTCTTTTGCAAAAACACCCCATTGTCAACATTGTAAAACCTAATCAAATCGCATCTCAATTTCCGCTAGGAAGATAAATTAGCCATGGGTAATTAGTCAACAGATTCACATATTACAATTTCTCAAGAAAAAACTTTCATGAATCACTGATAAAAATGCAAATTTGGCAGCAATTAAGGAAAAGCAAGAGAAAATAATTGAGATCTGAGAGAGGTTTGATTTAGAGCGTACCCAAATGATAGGCATGCCACGGCTTCTTGCAACCTCAACGGCCTTAATAACGCCGGGGACGATGGCTTCGCCGCCTCTGACACACAAAGGGCCACCTGGTAGTATGAAATCATTCTATAGAAAAAGTTAATAAATGGAAATCACAAGGGGTCAAGGGAAATAAAACAAAAAAGGAAAGGAATGATCACGACCTAAAGAGGCAAATACCTGCATGTCTATAACAAGAAGGGCGGTGCTTCTCCATTTCCCGGTGTCGGAGATAGTGGTGTTCATCGGTCCAGGACCAGACCGAATCGGACCAAAGACCAAAATGGGAAAAAATTAGGACCAAATACCGGACCTATAAATGTTCGGTTTTAGACCGGACCAACCGAAAACACTTGGACCGGACCGGTATGGACCGAAAAGACCGAACTGTACATTTTTTTACCTTTTAGAATTGAATTTTTAAATGTTTTACAAGTAAAACACTACAAAATGTAATTACAGCCAAAACATACAGTTCATCACAAATCATCACCGGAATTAGGGATGCAGCAATTGTATTAAACTAAAAAGACCTTCATCAAGAAAGACTACAAAATGCAATTATACCCAAAAAGTACAGTTCATCACAAATCATCATGGAGAATTAGGGATGCAACAATTGTATTAAGCTGAAAAAACTTCATCAGGAATGCAATAAAATTGAAATAAAAATACAATGGCCAGAGTGCTCAGTGGATGTAAATATATACAAGCAGGAGCAAGAGCAGGAGCAGTTTATTCCATTGATAATTCTGTATATGCAAAACCTGTATGTATATTTGATTGATAAATTGAAGGAGCAGTTCAAACAAATATGTAGAAGCTGGAGACTTTTGGATAGCCACGCACCAACTAAAAGTTCATATTCTAGTGCTACTATTTGCATAGCAGCATGGAGATAAGTACAAACAATGTACTTTTAAAGACTATTGAATAATAGAGACTGATTTAGCAGAAGAAACCTTTAGAATGTACTGATTTAGCAGAAGAAAGCTTTCTTCTGATTTAGCAGAGCAGAAGAAACCTTGAGCAAAAAAATTAGGTGGCTTTTCGAAAAAGTAAAATAAAAAATTACCTGACCTGTGTCGGACTATCGAGAGAGGAGAGCGTCCAGCGGAACCTGATTGTCGGGAATCGGCGGTGATTGCTGCCGATACTCGTGACGGTCTGAGTAGCCAGAATAGGATAGGATTGATAAGATCGGAAAAGGAGCGATTCAACAGGGCGGGAAAAAACGGAGAAGATGGAGATTGCGATTCAATAACCTATTTTGTCGATTCAATTTGAAGAGGAGGGCAGAGGAGAACGGAGACCAGAGGCGAAGAACAATGGGATATGCGATGTTGTTGTTTTCTCCTACTCCGATCCGGCTGGATGGATTATCCCCTGTCCCTGTGGTGGTTAGCCTAAGTGGTCCGATGTTTCCACCGTCTACTTCCGCCACAAATTAAAGCCGACGACGGTTCTAATTCCTCAAATTAAAACTCATATGCTACCCATGGTTTTGCCAACGTAGTAAATGTACTTCCCAGAAGATTTCAAATGTTCTGATTTCAACCTTTTTACCATTTTGTTATCATCCCATTTAACAATTATACTACGGACTACAAATTATAGGAATAGTAAACTTTGGACAGTGTAGCAGCAAAGTTGGTAGTGGGACGACACTGGGGTGACTACGTTGTGGCGGGGTGGCAGTGGGTGGTGGAGTAGGTAGCTAGTTAGTGGCAGTGCGACGGTGGAGGATGACAATGTAATCGCGAAGTTGGTAATGTGGCGGCGAAGAAGTTGGCAGTGTGGTAGCGATGGGGACAGTGCGGCAGTAGAATTGACAGTGCGGTGGTGCAAAGGGGCAAAGGGCTGCAACAGCGTTAGAGTTACGACAGTGTGACAAGGTTAATATTAAAAAATAGTAAATTCATTACTTTATTAAAAAAATTGCTCCTATTTATGTCTTTAAAACTTGAGACTATTATTTATGTCTTATTTTAATCTCTTTTACTCCTATATTTGTCATTGTCCCTAAAATGTTAGAAGACATCATTCAATATATTTTTATTTTACTTTTTACCAATTTCAGGTTAGTTTCTATTGATTACCTTATTAATTTCATTAATTTGTATGGTTTTAGTTATTTTCTCATGTTTTTAACTTTTTATATCTATTTTTTTATTTTTTTTTCTAACGTAAGACTAATCTTTAGAAAAGAAAATATTGATGGAGGATTAAAGGAAAAATTAAAAAAAAATTTAAAAAAACTCATCAAAATAATCCCAACTTTTATTTTGTTACGCAAAACAGACTATTTTCGTTAACTCGTCGTTAGCAGTTTAACAGTATCCTGAAACTAACAAATTTCAGTAAACTTGAAATTATTATGCATCACAGTGAAATGTGAGATTATTTTTCATAGATCAGGTAAAACCTGAGATTAATCTCGATAATATTCCCTTATTTAAGTGCAATAGTTAACCATTTTACTATTAAAGCAACTTTTTTTCTTTCCAATAAATTATTTTTGAATCCTATCACATAAAAATTATTTTTTTATCAATACATAAAAATTCGAATCAACGATTCCTTTTTTTATCACATAAAAATTATTTTTTTATCAATTATATTTTTACATAAAATTTTTTTTATCAATCTATTTTATTACTACTTAAGGAGATGAATCAACGATTCCTTTTGGGCTATAAACTGACCAATTGACCAAATAAGGTGTACTTTAACCTTTGCGCCCAAATTTGGAGTATCTTTTTTCTAGCGTCCAAATCTTTCATCTCCTTCTCGTTCCTGATACAACCCTTGGTTACATCATATTTTCTTTTTCATGCAAAAATCATCAATTTTAGTAATCTCATATTTAAGTGTGAATTTGTAGTGCTTTATTATGAAATTATAAAAAGAACCCAAAAAATAAAGATTCAAAACATCCAGAGTTCTTGATTTGTTGCATGAAAAGAAAAATTCAATTGCCTCTTCTAAGTAAACTCCCAAGTTTAGTCTATAATTTGTTCTAAGAAATCTATGTGAGTTCTCATTTTATGAAAAATATAAGAAAATACAACATTATGTTTTTGTTCACTATATAGATGGAAAAATAGATACATCACACAATCATCATTCCATAGAATCTGTATTACCACAAGAGGGTGGAATACCAAGATTTACTCAATTGTATATTTATGACACACAAATTGAGATACTCCGTATCAAACACAATGACTCGTTTCAAGTATCTTGAACACTTTATTAAGTGCATCCGAGATTACCGAACCGATAAAATACCAAAAAAAACAGTACCGAACCGAATGGTCGGTCGAGTATTTGGGATCAGTACGAGGTAACTTCCCATACCGAAAAATTTCAAACCGAACATATATACAAATACGTTATAAAAATAACAATGTTTTATATTTCTTCATTCAAAAATAAATTGATTTTGAAAAGTTGGTTCAAATGTGGATGAATTACAAAGAATCTTTTATTTATATAATCATTTATTTGAATTTTATTTTTTGTAGATTTATATAACAAAATTTAACAAATATTTGAAATATTATTTTGTTATCATTCATTCTCTTTTGTTTGTGAAATATGAAGTATAAATTAAACTAAGTTTCATAAGTATTTTTGCATTTAATTATTCATTTTCCAATTGTTTATCTTTCTTTTATATGAATGCACTTTTGATTTTTTTAAAATAAAAAGTTTTGTACATTCCAAAGTACTCCGTATAAATTAGGTATGTATATATATTCGTACTAATATTTATCGTAATCAAACTATCCCGAACCATACCGAACTGATATTTCGGGATCGGGATCAATATGATGTAAAATTCCATACCGAACCAATATATTTGGTACGATATCGGTACGGACTAAATATAGTGTCACCGGTAAAAATACTAGTGGAAGGAAAGAAGAGTAGTTTTTCTCTCTCTTCTGGTTTGAACTTATAAACAAAGGAATGAAATGGCGTTCTCTCTTACTAAGGGAATGGTTGCTGCTGCTACTCCAACTCAATATCATCACCTCTCCCGCACAGATGCCATCTTCCCGCTTCGCAAAACGCTTCATGTGAAACCCTTGTTAACTCCGATTACAATCTTGAAAAGAAGCACTCCTTTCAGATTCTCTTCAGTGAACGCAGCAGCCAGTACCGATGACATGGGCAAATTTTCCACAGGCCCATCACCCATTGCTCAAGAAGATGAAAAACCCAGTAAGGTAAAAACCCTTTGATTTTCCGATTCAGAAGAGAATTGATTCTATGGGTCGACAAATCTAGACTTCTTGTGTTGTACTGTGATAAGTTTAGGTCTAAATGTGCATTCTGTTTAAGACCTTCTGCAGTGGGTCGACTGGAACAGTTTGTTCCGAATTTTCCTGTCAAGAAAGGGTTCTTTCCTGAAAAATGGCTTGGTTCTTCAAGAAAGGGACTGTAACTCTTTGTATGTTTATGCGTACTGTTGATGTTTTATTAGCCAGAACTAACTGAAGAAAGAAGGTGGTTGATTGTTTGATAATTGAAAAGGTGATTGGAAATTTACAAGGTAACTAAAAACAGAAATAGTGGCTGAAATGTTTGAAAGTCGACAGGGTAACTTATTACTCCATAGTTATTAGAGAGTAAAGAATCAAGGCACCTAAATTTTGGGTCAATTACTCATACAAGTTTCTTAAAGTAGCAGGAAAAAACTAAACATGGCATATGCCCATCACATTTATCGACACTCATTATCTAGTTAGTTTAATTTATAGGCCAAGTTGAACAAAATATCTTATCCTTAGAACAAAAATAGCTGAAAATGATGCCGGAACATCCAAGTGGGATGCTCTTGCTGCTCGTATGGAACCCATTACATCATAGTGTGATGCATCAAACAAGAGAGTGGCTTTTGACATCACATCTGTTTCACAATCCATGAGCATATGAAGTATGGTTCTGTTTTTGTTTGTATAAAAAAGCGCGGGATTATGATTAGGAAGTGGAAGAATGTGTGAGAGTGCTGAAAAGGGCTGCCAAGACAAGAAAAGTTCCACCTTGGGAAATTCTTTCTGCATTCTCAGTCATCGAGAAGGCAAAGCTCGACCCCTCTGGTTTCTTTGAAACTCTTGGAGGAACCAAGTCACCTGGAAGAACATGGATGCTTATTTTCACAGAAGAGGTGAGTTTTGTCATTCACTGATTTCAGAATGAACCTCTGAATTGTTTTGTTTTGTGACTATGTGCCCACGTATTAGCTGCAGAAAAAGCTACAGCGCGGGGGATATTTTCCAATTACAGCTGTTCAGAGGTTCGATGCAGCTGTAAGCTTCCTCGTATCTCAGCATGAATCTTTTATTATTAAGTGCTGCTTAAATTGGAAGACAGATATACATTGGCTTATTCGTTTCAATGTTTCCGTTATTGTAGATGCTACTAAATAGTAAATATATCCATACCACTTTGGTCTGAATCTAGGGCCTATTCTTTTTCCTATGCTCTTCTTTCACATACAATATAGCTTTACGAGACTAGAATTAAAAAAGGAATAGTGCAATCGTAAAACTTTATGAAGCATCTCAGACAAGAAATTACACAAACCCAGGGAATTTCAAGTGGATGGTGTAGAATTTCGTAAAAGACTGAATGGTTTTCCATTGAATATGCACAATGTATAAATACAAGTAGGTTTGAGGCTCGTTGGGCCAGGCCCGATTACATACAAGGAAAGATACATACATGGAAATAATATACAAATAAGTAAATAAAAAACTATATATGCTAACACTCCCCCTCAAGTTGGAGCATGGAGATCACAAATGCCCAACTTGGAGAGTAAGAAAGAAAAGAGAGGTCTGTTCAAAGCTTTGGTGAACAGATCAGCTAACTGCAAGCGAGTAGGCACATAAGCTGTGGTGAGCTCTCTGCGTTGAACACACTCACGGACGATGTGGCAATCAATGTCAATATGCTTCATGCGCTCATGAAAAACAGGATTAGAAGCAATAAACAAAGCAGATTTATTATCACAAAATAAGCGGGGCGTTGTTGGTGGAGTAACACCAAGCGCACCAAGAAGACCTCGAATCCACTGGACCTCTGCACAAGCGTTGGCCATAGCACGATATTCGGCTTCAGCTGAAGAACGTGACACAGTAGTTTGTTTCTTTGTTTTCCAGGAAACGGGGGAACCACCCAAGTGAATAAAATAACCACTAACTGACCTGCGAGTAAGAGGACAAGAAGCCCAGTCGAGTCACAATAAGCGGATAGCTGAAGAGAACTATCACTACGCAGAAGAATCCCCTGTCCTGATGACCCTTCAAATAGCGAAGTACACGCTTGGCCGCATCCATATGATCAAGTCGTGGGGCATGCATAAACTGAGATAGAACATGAACCGAATAGGAGAGATCTGGCCGAGTAATAGTGAGATAGATCAAGCGACCCACAAGGCGTCTATATTGACCCGGATCCCGTAGCTCCGCGCTAGTGGAACGAGCTAGACCATGGTTCGGCGTGATAGGAGTGTCCGCCGGCTTACACCCCTATAAACCGGCCTCATGAAGAATATCCAACGCATATTTACGTTGGCACAGAACAATTCCCGCTGATGACCGAGCACACTCAATGCCCAAAAAATAAGATAAGGGCCCCAAATCCTTGAGCCGAAAGCACCTGTTCAAATAGGACTTGAAAGACGTACACAAGGTGGGGTTATTACCTGCAACCAAAATGTCATCAACGTAAACCAAGACAACCAAAATATCAGGACCGCAGCGGTGAATAAACAGAGTATGATCAGCATGGGCCTGACGGAAGCCGTATCGGCGGAGAGCACAGGTAAGTTTGCCAAACCAATTGCGGGGTGATTGTCGTAACCCGTAGAGAGACTTACGCAGACGACAAACCTTTCCTGGATAAAGATGGGCATAACCGGGTGGCAGACGCATATACACTTCCTCAATCAGATCACCATGGAGGAAAGCGTTGTTGACGTCAAGCTGGTGCACTGGCCAGCCCTTGGCCGCGGCAACGGAAAGCAAGACCCGAACAGAACCCATTTTTGCTACCGGGGCAAAAGTATCTGTGTAATCAACCCCCAATGTCTGATGATTGCCCAGCACAACAAGGCGTGCTTTGTCTCGTTCCTTAGAGCCGTCAGAATTGAATTTGGTTTTAAAAACCCATTGACATCCCAAAGCTGTCCGGTCAGATGGGAGCTCAGTGATATCCCAAGTGTGGTTATTCTCGAGAGCCTGAAGTTCTGTTTGCATAGCAGCCCGCTAGGTGGCATGAGGAGCTGCTTCAGAATAATTTCTAGGAACAAAGTGCGGACTGATAGCCCCAAGAAAACCACGGTACCTGTCATGCAATTTATTATAACAAACAAAGTTGGTAATAGGATAGCGCGTACCTGAAGATGAAGACCGGGGAGGAGATGAACACAACGGGACATGAGATTGAACAGAATTGACGATATAATCACTAAGGTGGGAAGGCAGACGACGCTGCCGTTGGGGACGAACAAGGGAAACAGCAGCTGTTTGGGAAGGAGAGGGGTTGACGGATGGCTGGTCGCCCTCTGTCTCCGGTTCGGCGGTGTCTGCGACCGGGGTACCTGCCGCCGAAAGATTGGTCGGCGTTACCAGAGGGGGATCGGGCGGGGGTATTTCGGGAAAGTCGGCCAGTGGAGTGGAGGTGATAGTGATATATCTAGGCCGACCCTATCATACCCTCCCCCATATCCCAAACCCTCATGGAAACCAAAGGACTTAGGTTCAAACATTATGATCCATTTTAGTGAGAATTCAAAATCCTTTAGCCCGAAAGGCCAAAATAACTTTTGTTTTGACCTAAGGGTTCCGCTAGCCAACCCCCACTCCGTCCAACCCAACCCTAAACATCCAAATATATTTCATTTCCTTTTGATATCTAAAATAAAGTCTCTTCTATCTATTTTAATCCCTGGTCACAATAGGAAACCAAAACAGCCCCATTCATCTTCCAACATCCACNAATGCTATCCATTCCCCTTGGTTTGCCTTTCATTGGAGACCCTACAACCACACCCATCCCTGATTTTATTCCAATAAAAGGACCTAAAACATGGCTGATATTTCAAGGCTTTGAGAGAGGATGTTGCTAGGAAGTTTCCTTATGTCTACATTCAATGTATTGTGTATTTCTTCCCCCTTCCCCCTGCCTATATAACCAGGCCCTATTGCCATTGTAAACACATCTTTGAATATTGAAAACCTTTTACTCTTTGAGTATTCATAAAATAGTGTGATGCTATTTTAGCCAAATTCCTAATTCTATATCTTAAGAGTGGTTATCTTAAGTGTGAGTTTTAGGTTCTAGATATCTGATTAAGTGTGTCATATGTTAATTAAATTCTAGATTCAAATCCCAAGTTAGGATAAGAGTGTGTAATATCTCTTAAACACCAACTTGGTTTATCCATCCCTAATTTTTCTTCCATTTCTTATCTCCCCATTTCTCCTCTTAACCTTACTCTTTTCTTCCATTAAAATACCCAAAAGAACTCCCTCATCATCTCCACATATCCCAGCCATTCCCACAAAAGCACCACTATCTTTCCACACAGATTTTGGATCCTGACTGCCGTTATAATTGACTATCAACAAGAATAATCGATTATCTTCCCCTCCTGAATTCCCTTGGAACAAGCTGCAAGCCCCAATAATCGATTATCATATACTGATAATCGACTATCTCCCTTCCCTGAAGTTTCTGGGTTTTAGCAGCACAGCTCCACAATCGATTATCACCTGGCCACAATCGATTATCACCTGCTCCTGAACCTTGAACTCAAGCTGCATTGTCCCTTAATTCCTTCTCAAAATAACAACTCGTTTAAACCCCCGGTTCGGGTCTAACAGATAGGTTCGGCCGGCGTGTGTTTTATGGCAAACGGGAATTGGCTCTTGTCAAAAACCACGTCCCGAGTGTGAAAAAAACGGTGAGAATCAAGGTCATACACACGCCAACCTTTAGTGCCGGAGGGGTACCCAACAAACATACACTTGGTGCTGCGAGGAGAAAATTTGTTAGCAGTTTTCATACGAACAAAACACAAACACCCAAAAATTTTGAGATGACTAAGATCAGGTGCTTTGTTATTGAGTATCTCAAAAGCAGATTTTCCACCAAGGAGTTTGTTGGGAGTCCGGTTAATTAGATACACAGCTGTACGAACACATTCCCCCCAAAATTCAATTGGTAAATGGGCTTGAAACATAAGTGATCGGGCGACGTTTAAAATGTGTCTATGTTTACGTTCCACCCGACCATTTTGTTGGGGGGTACCAACACAAGATGTTTGAACAAGAACACCTAAGGACACATAATATGTCCGAAGATCCTGATTTACAAATTTAGTCCCATTATCAGAACGAACAATTTTGATGGTTTTATGGAATTGGGTCTGAATCATGGCAAAAAAGTGTTTCAAGCAACTAGACACTTCAGATTTATCAATAATCAAATAAGTCCAAACGGCTCGAGAATGATCATCCACAATAGTGAGAAAATAATGAGCATCAGTAGCTAAGCAAGGGGTGTATGGTCCCCATAAATCACAATGAATTAAATCAAAAACGCTGGTAGCTTTATTGGAACTGTTTGGAAAAGAACTACGAACTTGTTTAGATTGAAAACAAATCTCACAAGACTGCAACAATTTAATTTTAGAGCTACTGGGAGAAGGAATAAGAGACGACAAAACTTGAGGAGACGGATGGCCCAAGCGTTTATGAAGAAGAATAGGGTCCACTTGGGTCGCAGCCGCGGTTGAGGAAGGACGAAACAGGAAGATTCCGTTGCATGCATCACCCCATCCAATCTCCATCTTCGTTGCACAATCCTGTATTACACAACAATTGTCGTTAAAAATTACAAAACAGGATGTATCCCGAGTAAGGCAACCAACAGAAATAAGATTGCACTGTAAATGAGGAACGAGCAAAACGTCCCGAAGGACCACCTCGGCCGAGAGTCGCACGTGACCACATTGAGTGGCGGTGGTGCCTGTGCCATTGGGTAAAGTGATGACGCAAGGGCTCATAGAAACCACATTAGACAAATATGAGATATTACCAGTCATGTGATGCGAAGCACCGCTATCAATAAGCCACTCACGGGAAGAAGAATCACCGCTAGGACCGGCAGTTTTGTCAGATGAAGAAGTGTCAAGCATGGAAAGTAGGCGCGTCATTTGGTCGGGTGTGAGGCCGAGGGCGTTGGAATTTGTAGCCGAATTTGCTCCCCCTGTCGCCGTTCCAGGCCCACGGCCCGGAGCACCACTGCCGCCCGACATGGCACGGCCGCCACTCCGTCCGCCACGACTGGGTACACTGCCACGGCCCCGGCCCTTCCCCGGGGGTACCCATGTAATTGATAGCAGCGATCCACCGAATGCCCGTCCTTGCCGCAGTGAGTGCATGAGTAGTGAGGTGGATCACCACGGCCTGTGGGAGGCGAAGGGCACTGCATGGCAAAAGCTATGGCGTCCGTGCGGTCATCACGACCACGGACAATACTTTTGTGTCGTTCTTCTTGCACAATCAATGCATATGCTCGGTGTATGTTCCGTAGCGATGATTTGAGAACGGATGTGGCCAAACTGTTCATCATCTAGCCCAAGCAAAAAATGGTGGGTTTTCTCCTGTTCTTCCCGAGCACGGATCAAAGCCGCGGCTTCACAGCGACATCCGCATGTGGGATCAACAGAACCATATAATTTATTCCACAAAGTTACAAATTGATTATAATAACCAACCACAGTTTGACCTTTTTGACGCAGGGATTGAAACTCGGATTTCAATTGATGCACACGAGGACCATTGGATCCCTCATACCGAGTCTTTAAATCCAACCACAATTCATGAGCAACCTTATGAGAAATAATAGACGGTTGGATATGTTCATCAACACTGTTACAGATCCAAGAGCAAATGATAGAATTATTGGCTTTCCATGCCGCAAGTTCCTGCTCATCAGTAGGTTTTGGAAACCCGGAAGGGATCAAGAAACCTGCTCGACTTCGCCCCTCAAGAGCGTTCACAATAGTTTTCTCCCAAATATCATAATTATCTCCCTTAAGAAGATGTTTTGTCAGAGAATTACCCGCACTTTCCAACGGATGTATGTAATAAGGTGACGTTGGATCGTGGATGAGCCGTACCTTCTTTGGGGTTTCGGCTACCATGGTGACATGAGGCACCTGCGATGTAGCTGACGTGAGCCGGCGTCGTGGAGGAGACCGACGTGAGCCGATCGGCGACCGTCGTGAGCCGGTCAAAATAGTGCCGGTGACGGCACAAGAAAAACGAGCCTAGGGTTTGAACGAATCCCGGGAAATTGGCTCTGATACCATGTAGAATTTCGTAAAAGACTGAATGGTTTTCCATTGAATATGCACAACGTATAAATACAAGTAGGTTTGAGGCTCGTTGGGCCAGGCCCGATTACATACAAGGAAAGATACATACATGGAGATAATATACAAATAAGTAAATAAAAAACTATATATGCTAACAGATGGACCATAAGCGCAGGCATGTTCTTATAAAAATCGTCTTACTGCATCGCGTTGCAATATGGAGTTTCTTTTTGTGGCAGAGAAGTGAAGTGCACATGAATATTGTTTTTTTCTTCCCCTTTATGGATATAGTCTTTTATCATTGTCCAACAACAAAAATTTACCGAGTGTTTCAAATACTCTGTAAATTTTATTAGATTTGGTTTGTTTGATATTTCAGGGAAGGAGAATCGAAAATGGAGTTTATCTTGGCCCTTTAGGATGGTTGAGCTTTGAAGGGAGGTTTTCGTGGAAGAGTAGAATACTGGCATTCACGTTTGAGCGGATCCGCGTGAAGGTTGGCCCTTTTAAGCCATTTGATATTGGTGTCAAGGCCGGGAAGGATGAAAGGGAGCCAAGCAACAAGAACGACCCATTTTTCATTTGGTTTTATGTAGATGAAGAAATAGCTGTTGCTCGCGGTAGAAGTGGGGGCACTGCCTTTTGGGTTCGTTGTCAACGTGTTGGTGTAGATTTATAATATCAAAGGTAGTATTTTTATTTATAGCTCTACACAAAACATATACTTGCAAATGTATCATGCTCCGTAATCATACTTCACCGATCGAAGAGACATTGAGTCGAACACATTTTTATAATGCAACTCTATCCAGAAACCAATTTCATTCGAATCTGTAGATTGAGATTGCCCATTAGGAGGTTTGATCCTCGACCACGACCATAGAAGTCGGAATCAATATCAAACCATGCCTTAAAATCAGGGATAGGGAAGGACGAAGCCGGAGGTGGTGGTTGCGCCTTGCTGTTCTCGATCTGTCGGCGGGGACGACATTCATAGTGGAGGGAGGGGCCGATACGAGATTACCACCAACATATCTCATGAGTATTAGCAGGGAATTAAATATTGGGAAGCAGTCGTGTGGATCCAATATCAGAAGATTACAGTTCACTGTTCGCCGCACTAGCAAAAGGAACGAATCCATACTTTATACCGTATCTGTGTTTCGCCCAGAAGCGAAAATATATTCAGTGAATATAATCTGACAACTGGGAGTAATCAATGACTCAACTGTCATTACATTCCATGCGATGAATGGGGGTGGGGGCAAAGCAATTCCAGTTCGAGTTTCTTTTTTTTTTTGTAGTCTATTACGGAGTATTAGTTTATTACTCCATATGCTGCCGTGATGAAATTAAGTACCCCCGTCACATTTGGATTATAATATTCTTTTTTTTGTGTAGTTTAATATTACACCAAAGTTCTCATCACTCCAAATTTAAAATCAACTTGTGGGGTGCAATTGAAGGAGGTGGAGGAGTGTGTTTAGGTCGGGGCGGTGTGTGGGGTTAGGGGGGGTGGGAACCAACGGGGCACCGGAGCGCCCTCGGGTCATCCCATGACATTGTCGGGCAATGTCATGGGAACCTTGCCCTTAATATTAAGGGCTTGTTCTTTAATTTTCATCTGATCTGAATGATTCTAATTTGATTGAAATAAGTTCTGATCTGTTCTGAATGTAGTTATATTAAAAACTGTTTGTGATCTGATTTTAATTTTTAAAAATTACAAATAAGAATAATTAGTTAAAGAAAACTGACTCTGAGTCACATTTAAGAAAGTATTTTCCAAATTACCACCAATAGCTCATATGGTTGCCCATATAGGTATGTACTTTTAGGACGCTAGATGATAGGAATACGGGGGAAGGGTTACACGTGTGTAATGATGAGATACACTTCATAATTAAAGTTAAAATTTCCAAAAATTTAGAGGGAAAATCTAAAGATAAATTTTCGTAAATTTACATTTCCCTCCTAATTTTTTCATTCTTAATCTCGAATTCCTATAAATGAGTGCATTTATAGCTCTCATTCAATAATCCCAAAGCCATAACCAAGGGAGCCCATCCAAACTTCCTGGAAGAGGGTTAGACTAATCCAAACTACAAGAGATAACAATACATGACAACTATACAAATATTCAAATAATATTTAATTACTAATTATCCTTAACACATCCTCGCTAGATGGAGGATTCGTCAGAGATGCCAATCTTGGGCCGAAACTTGTGAAACAAAGCAGTAATGGCACCTGAGCCCGTAGAAAGAAATGCCACCCCGATCAGAGTTAGAGAAGACTGTAAGCAGCAATGGCACCTGAGCCAGTAGAAAGAAACCATGGGAAAGAGTACCATTAAGGTTACGAAGAACACGTTTGGCTGCCTTCGAATGTAGCGCGGTAGGTGCATGCATAAACTGAGACAATTTATTCACAGCAACACAAATATCAGGAGAAGTAAGCGAGAGATATTGTAAAGAGCCCAAAAGTTTCCAGAAAGAAGTGGGATCAGCTGAGCCGACCTATCTTGGAGTTGTCGAGCAGACGACGAAGCCAAGGGAGTGGTAATAGAATTTGAAATTTCCATATTATGCTCAGTGAGAATATTATAAATGTATAGCCGCTAAGATAAAAAGACCCACCATTAGCACGAATAACCTCCATCCCCAAGAAGTGATGTATGGGACCAAGATATTTAACAGAGAAGCGACAAGAGAGCTCATGAACAAAAGCATCGAGGGAAGTCGTAGAATTACCTGTAACAACAATGTCATCCACATAAACCAAAAAATAAAGCATCATTGTATCTCTAGCATAAAGAAAGAGCGAAGCATCTGCCCGTGACTTTCAAAAACCGAATCCAAGCCAGAAGTTTGTAAAGTCCAAATACCAAGCTCTAGGGGCTTGTTTCACGCCGAAAAGTGCTTTGCAAAGCTTACACACATAATCAGGATGCACATCATCTTTTATACCTCCACATGAAAAATGCCATTTCAAAAAGTATTATTGACACCTAATTGCCGAAGAGACCAACCAAATGACAATGAAAGTATGCACATTAGGCAAATTGTAACAAGTTTAGCGACTAGACTAAATGTCTCATAATAGTCACAACCCGGCTGCTGAAGAAAACCCTTGGCAACCAAATGCTCCATGCATCAATCCATAGTCCCATCTGATTTGCGTTTGAGACGAAACACCCATTTGCAATGAATGGGTCGCCGAAAGGAACACCAAACAAGGTCCCAAGTATGATTTCTATGTAAGGCTGAGAATTCCACATCCATGGCAGCCCTCTAATTCGCATCCTTACGGGCCTACAAACAAGTAAGTGAAGTCTCCCCGGCAACAAAGGAAACATGGTTAACAACATGATCATTGAAGTAACGAAAATTTAACCATCACTCACGAACTGGTTGAGGAGCCTGAGAAGGACCACTAGACACAGATGAATTATCTAACATAGTAGGAGGGGAGTTTGACGGTTGAACAAAAGTGGGTAAGATAGAGGAATTATGCAAAGGAGGTGGAGGAGAGAGAAAACACAAAGAACATTGGACAGGGTAAGAAAACAAGTAGGAGTTAACAAACATGACTTGCCAGTCTGAGAGATGGTTAAAGTCTTACCATTACCCAAACAAATTTTATCTGGTCCACCATACTCCATTACGGTGTTGAGGGATGATGGGTCATTGGCCACATGGTGGGAAGCACCGCTATCAACAATCTATTGAGCATCTATGTGACTACTATGACCGTTGGACACAGTATCATGGGCAGCGTGACTATCATTGTGTTGAGGATTGAAGCTATAGTGACGTTAATGTCACTTAAAAATCACTAGAGTTTGTGACAAAATCGAGTATCATGGCTTGAGAGATCACAAAACAACAATAACGACCACCACGATTAGCATGCGACCCCTTGGCGCATCTATGGAGGAGAATCATTGTTTAGCTCTTTCTGAGAGTCATTTGCTTTCAGAACCGGATAAGTATAGGAGTCTTCTGGGGCACTTAGTCTACTTATTTTTTACTCTTCCCGAATTGGCTTATGCAGTTCATACTATGGCTCAGTTTCTCAAAGAGCCACAAGAAGATCATTTGCACGCGGTACTGTGTATGGTGCGGTATCTTAAGGACTGTTACTTTTGTCTGCTGCAAACAGGTGACTGGTTGGTATGACTCAGATTGGGCAATATGTGCTCACACTAAGATCTCTGACAGGATAGTTTGTACAGCTTGAGATTCTTCGGTATCTTGGAAGACAAATAAGCAACCTACTGTGACACGATCCTTTGCTGAGGTCGACTATACGCCCTCGCCGCTACTACGTGTCAACTAAAATGGTTGAAGGGTTTATTTTGTTCTCTTGGTATATTTCATACTGATCCTGTGATAATTTGTTGTGACACTACTGCTACCCTACATATTGCAACCAATCCAGTTTTTTATGAACGCACGAAACTCGTATCCATGACTCGACAACTTTGTTCGTGATGAAATTGTTGGGGGGGGGGGGAGGTCATCCGCACGCAACACGTATCCATGACTCGACAACTAGTTGATCTGCACACCAAGGCGTTGGGAAAGTCTCATTTGGAGCTTCTGCTACCCAAGTTGAGCATTTCACTATTACATGCTCCAACTTGAGGGGGTGTTACGAATAGTAACGTAAATATCTCCTCATATTTGTTTCTTTGTATAGGTATTCTTTTTCCTTGTTTATTTCGTTTCCTATTGTAATAAAGTTTCCAACCTGGGAATTCCTCTTATATACTACCTTTGTCCCTGAGTATTTGTCTAGTTTTGACTTTTTTCGGTCAATTATTTTCAACATTTGACCTGTAAATAAATAAAACATATATTGTATATTAATTAGATATAATATTTTTTGAAAATATTTGATATAATAAATCTAATAAAACTAATTTGGAATCAATTTCTAATACTACCTCCGTTTCTGAGTATTTGTCCAATTTTGACTTTTTCCACTCAACCGTTTCAACCTTTGACATATAATTAAATGAAATATATATACTCCCTCCGTCCCACAAAAAGTTCTCATTTTGAATAGTATTTAGTCAATTATTTACACGCTTTGACTACAAATTATGAGAAAGGTATATTGAATTATAAAATAAATTTAATATAATTGGATTCATCTTAGGATCTAGCTTTGATATCTCAAATTTTTTTAGCATTTCTTTATTTAGATTATATTTAATTTATGGTCAAAGCGTGTAACTGTTTGACCAATTTATGGTCAAAATGGGAACTTTTTTGTGGGACGTAGGGAGTAGTATTTTAGTTAGATAAAATAATACTTTGAAAACATTTCATATAATAAATCTAATAAAACTATTTTTGTATCAATATCTAATATCATTTTTATTTAATTTGAGGTCAAAGCTTACCAATTTTGACCAAAAAAATCAAAATTGGAAAACACTCAGGAACGGAAAGAGTATCATTTTCATTTAATTTGAAGTTAAAGTTTATTAATTTCGGCAAAAAAACAAAAATGGACAAATACTCAAAATCGGAGGGAGTATATACAGAAATATTTTCAAAAATATTCTCTCAAAACCTAACAAACCGAGGCACAACGTCATTTATGAGAACTATAAAGGAGTGGGTTAGTGAAAAAGAAGTGGATGAAAGTGTGGTGGGGGAAGGGGTTTTCATATCTTCATCATCATCCTTCTCCCACCACCCCCATAATAACATGATGGAAAATGCTATATGAACCCCACTTTTGTACACCAGGGGTACACCATATAAAAGGCCAACCCCCCACCCCTTATCCCTCTCACCCACGTAGTCTCTCTCCCTCTCTCTTCCCGATCATGCTTCTTCTTCACCGGTCAAGAATTCTACTCCCCTTCGCCGCCTCACTCTGGTACCCAAAAGCTCCAGCCTTCATCGTCTTTCTCATCCTGGCATCTTCATCTTCCTTTTTCCCTTTGCGACGTCACCCTCCACTCCAAATCACCTTTGAGGACATTCACCTGCAACTTCACACTCCGGTAAATCAAATTTGTATGGTTTTTGATATAAATCGAATTTTATTTTGTTCATTGTTAGATATGATTTTGTTCATTGTTGGTGGAAATTTTGACTTTCCAATCCGATTTAGACAAAAATTAAATTTGATTTGTTTTCACAGATCTGATTTTATTGCTGCACTTTCCCAATTTCAGTTTTGTGTTGTAGCTTTAGGTAGCTATTTCATCTATGTATGTTGAATGGTTTGTGACAAGAGGTTTAGATTTTTTATCTACACTCTCACAGACATACTATGTTTGTAAAGAAAATATTACAGACACGTAATGTCTATAACATATTTGACTGACACTAGTATGACCTAACAAATTTAGAATCCCTCCCAAAAGTTCACCAGTATCCCTCAAGAAGTATCTTTCAAGCTTACTCATCTCATTCCGAATTGGTGCAATAATTGGACATGCTCATTTGATTCTTATACCTTCTAAAACGTGTTCCAAACAAAGTGACATTTCTTAATTGTTTGTTTGTTAAGTTTCAGAGTTAGACTTAATTATATTCCCTTGTGGTTGCTTTTGATGTAGAAGATTGGAAGTTGGAAGATTGGAGGTAGTTGTATTTGGATTTTTACTATGTTAAGAACCTCATTCGGATTTCATTGAGGTTACCCAGACATTATGTGTCTTTGGTAAACAAGTACAGATATTGAGTGTATGTGAATTACTTACTCATTGATGAACATTGTTGATGACATTTATTTTTTCTAATAGATTGAGAAAAGTGCACAGATTTCTTCGGACCATGGCATCTTCCTCTTCGACTTCCAACTACCGTGTGAAGAAGGAGACAAGGAGACAATATGAAGCAATTTCTTCCAACTTGAAGATGGCGAGGCCTGAATTAGATCTACGTTATGGTACGGTAAAGTGTGATTGTTTGCCTCAATCAAGAAATTGTGTAATTCGAGTTGTGACTGACCATGAGAAGCCAAACAAAGGTAGGCTTTTTTATACTTGTGATCACTGTGGGTTTTTTCTTTGGTGCCATCCACTGAAGGCTGAATTTCGAGGTGAGCCACTGCCAATTGATAGCTCTGTAATGGGTCGGTTTGTTCGAAACTACGGAGAATTTGAGGAGGAGAGCTATTTACATGAGAATGCACGTGGAGCTCAAAACGAAGTGAATGCAGCTGTGCCCCGTGAGAATCATTCCAATAGGGGCGTGAATCTATATCAAACCATAAACCTCTTTTGCAAGTTGTTGGGTCTTGTTGTTGTTTTGGTTGCTCTTTTGAAGTAGGTTGATGTATTTAGTAGTGTTCTTGGGGCTGTGTAGTATTTTGAGTTGTTAATGTTCAAGTACTTATGTACCAATGTTGTATGACTTGTGTTGAGTGAATTTGTGAAATTTGTGTAATGG